TCCAAAATAGGACGTTCAAACCTCTCCCATAGCAGTAACAACTATACCCAATTTCAAACATGTGGGTCAAACGGTTCCTGAGTTATCGTGGACCGTACCCAAATGTTGACGGAAGGACGTACGACGGACGACGACCCATGGCAATAGCTCATCTTGACGATGTCAAGGTGAGCTAAAAAATGGCAACAAAAATTTGACAAATTTTATCATAGAAAATTCGTGACGTACTGTAGTCAATTTAAGTCAAGGGATCGATACTATACAAGCAATGATCGGAAAAGAATAAGGAAACATATATACTGTATATTTCACAGACTGGTTTAATTTTTCGCGAATTTCGCGAACGTGTCCCCGACCGCGGAAATAACAACACATGAATAATTCATACCGAATAATTCATAATTCACCGACCACGAAATTAACCACTCGCAAAATTGTCCGTCAAGTCTGAATTCGAGTAAAATATCTGTACGCGAAAACCATGGCGTATACAGTACTTAGTTACCAACCAACGGATGTACACATACATGGCATGCAGTACTTAGACGTTACTCACTGGACCCCTGCACATAAGGGTCCACGACCTCATGGCTAAAATCATTACAAGGATTTCCTGCTAAAATACATCATAAGTAGATTCACAATCACAATATCGTACTCGATTTGATATGATAATTTCTTGAAAGTTTTTGATTTTTTTGTGATGAAAAATCACTCCATATAAAAGCCGGACTAATCCCGTACATTACACAATTTAAATGCCTGATAAGGTATTACTAGAAATGACGTGTTGGGATTGCTAGCAATCGAGTATTTGTTGTTTTTATATGATAAATATCTAGGAGCATGCACACAACTGCTACACAGATGTTGTATATATAACCTGGTGACACCAAAGCAACTCTGTCACACACACACACACGCACACGCACACACGTGGACACACGCACGCACGTACAATGTAAGCACGCACGCACATGCGTAAGCACACACACATGCACGCACGTACACGTGTAAGCACGCACGCACGTACAAGTGTACGTGTAAGCACACGTACACACATAAGCACGCACACATGTACACACACAGGCACTTGGAGCGTTTCAACAAAATATGATGCTAAATAAATACGAAATCTATTTACTACCAAAGTCTTAATGTTTCTATACTCTCTTTCACCTATTATTGCCGACAATTTCATGTAAATGCCGTCCAAATGCTCATCTACAACAAAC